ATCGTTTTGCTTGCAAATGTCAGATCCTAAAATAGCGCCGGTTATTCCAGGCAGCGCCGGTTATTCCAGGCAGCGCCGGTTATTCCAGGCAGCGCCGGTTATTCCAGGCAGCGCCGGTTATTCCAGGCAGCGCCGGTTATTCCAGGCAGCGCCGGTTATTCCAGGCAGCGCCGGTTATTCCAGGCAGCGCCGGTTATTCCAGGCAGCGCCGGTTATTCCAGGCAGCGCCGGTTATTCCAGGCACCATGGCTGCACGCGTGGTGTAGGGGAAGCTGCCAGGGCGCCAAGGAAGCTGCAAGCGAGAGGTTTGTATACTTCAAATAGCTTTCTAAGTATGGTTCTTCAGTATGATGAAAATGTTCGCAACCTGCTGTATCGGAGATCATGCCAATACACGCAGAGCGGACTTGTGGATGCCTCTGTCCTCGAAGCTGATCTCGTCGAGAGGGTGAAGAGCTTCGCGAAGCGTTATCCGAACAGCAGGACAGCCCAGGCTTGCAAGGCTGTGGAGGGATGCACCCCCGACGCTATCGCAGAAGCCATCCGCTCGACATGTCAGCAGGCACGACGTGAGCTTCTCCAAGAAGCGATGGCTGGATGGAGTGACGCATCCAGAGAGTGGTTTATGCAGCAGATTGAAGAAGCCAAGAAGGAGAAGGTCGAGACATACACCGCCTCAGCAGGCAACGAGGTGACTTCCTTCATCTCCATGACTCTCCTGGGCATCTCCTCGGTGTATGTCAACCATGAAGAAAAGCTGAAGAAGAAATTTGAAGAGATCGGACTGATCGTAGACTCAGTGCAAGAGAGTAAAGCAATCATGTGGAAGGCTCCGTATAGACCCGAGATAGCGAGTGCTGAGGAGATCCCGGTGACTGTTTCCTTCCTCCGCAATGCACAAGCGGAGAAGATAGCGAGTGCTGAGGAGATCCCGGTGACTGTTTCCTTCCTCCGCAATGCACAAGCGGATGTGAGCATCGTGCACGATCGATCTTTCAAGATTCGAGCCAAGAGAGGACCCTGGGGCAAAGGGGGCAGCTTGGCAGAGCTGACTCACCTGTTAACCTTTGGCGGCATGACAACGGCTGAGATAGCTGCCGTCTATCGCTATCAGCTGCTGCGCCAGTCCCTTGCAGCGGTCCAACTCCAGCCGCTGGCAGGCATGCTGGTCGCTGGGGCGCCAGGACAGCAAGTCCACAAAGGCTTAGGTCAGAAAGGCTTCATCGCTGTAGGGGCCAACGTCATCTGGAGACAGAGGGAGGTGGAGTGGATCGTCTCCTCGAGCTGCCCAGAGGCGAATGATACAGCATTTCGAGCTTTCCGAGAGAGCGAAGCGATGGAGGGAGTACACCTGACTCTGTTCAGCGAGGACCCGAAGATCAGAGAGGCGCTCGCAGTCGAGTTGACAGCTGATCGCTTTGTGTCCAGAAATAAGTTGAAGAAGGCATCAAGGATGCAGAAGAAGGCAGGCGGCAAGGACGGCAAGGAGATCAAGATCATCATCAAGTCGACGGCGGCATCTGGTCGCTTCACGAGGAAGGAGATGGAGGGGCTGTGCAACGGCGGCAACACGTCTATCGCAAGAGTCAAGAGAGTCTTGTTGGAGATCGCTAACAGGCTCGAGATCAACGTTGAAGGCATCGACATGGAGGAGGATTTGAACACCAAGTCCTGGAACGGGTCCAAGCTATGCATCCTCCTCGGCTCCACGGAGGATGCTCGACGCATGATGAAGGAGCTGCCCTTCTATCTCGAAGGCGCAGCAACCAAGCTCGAAGCAGTCGGCTTCGACAAGGAGCCTGACTCTGAGGCGGCTGGTCAGCGGGGCACCAGCGACGCAGCGCAGCGACAGGAGGAGAGCGAGGGAGAGTGGCTGGAGTTTACAGACCTGGAGAGGATCACAATGGAGGCAGCATCTCCGTCAAGCCAAGAGGACATGCAGCTCGTCAGCGAGCTGTCAGCAGTCATCGAAGATGCAGCTTCTTTGAACGAGGCGGGGACGAGCGAGCCGATCAAGCTGGTCCTGGACAAGGCCGTTGGCAACCTCCACGACACCTTCTACTCTCCGGGGAGCCTGGAGTTCATGTCGCTGGGAGAGTGGGCGAAGATGCCAGAGGAGCAGGGAGTTGGGCGCAACGTTCTCAAGGAGAAGCTGGGGAAGTGGCTGCAGAGCAAGCGCTGGACTCGCGTGCAAGGAGAGAGCAAGAAGGCAAGGAGGGGCAGCGCGTTCTCGCCACGGGCAACGGCAGCTGCTGAGCTTGAGCAGGAGGCGGAGAGCGACGACATAGAGCGTCGATCTCTTAGCTTCCTGTTCATAGCACTGAGTAAATTCGCAGAGATGCATGTGCTGGCCTGCTCGCTGAAGGTGGACAAGAAGGACCGACTGCGAGTGGAGATGAGGGAAGATGACGAAGAAGAGGAAGACATGGAGGAAGAGCAAGGCGAGGGCGAGGAAGAAGACGGGGCGAGCCCGTACCGAGCTTGAGCTGAGCTCAAGGTAAGGAGAGAAGGTAGGAGGCGACCGAAGGCCAAGGTGAGGAGAGGCAACTCTCCTGACTGAAGCTGAGGAAGCTGAATGGAGGAGGAGTAGGTGGCGACCGAAGGCCAAGGTGAGGAGAGGCAACTCTCCTGACTGAGGCTGAGGAAGCTGAATGGAGGTAGAGTAGGTGGTGACCGAAGGCCAAGGTGAGGAGAGGCAACTCTCCTGACTGAGGCTGAGGAAGCCAAGAGAAGACAGCAGAAGTAGAGAGTAGAAAGACGCCTCAGAAGCAGGGTTCGCATTGTAGGCCGTGTACTCCCAGTGCTCGAGCGCCTCTTTAGACTAGGATCCAATTGCACAAGCCCACAACGAGGCCGAGCAACATTCTAGCATTCTAATAAACTCACATAATAATAATAATAATAGGGTTTAGGGTTTAGGAGCGCCGGTTATTTCAGGCAGCGCCGGTTATTTCAGGCAGCGCCGGTTATTTCAGGCAGCGCCGGTTATTTCAGGCAGCGCCGGTTATTTCAGGCAGCGCCGGTTATTTCAGGCAGCGCCGGTTATTTCAGGCACCATGGCTGCACGCGTGGTGTAGGGGAAGCTGCCAGGGCGCCAAGGAAGCTGCAAGCGAGAGGTTTGTATACTTCAAATAGCTTTCTAAGTATGGTTCTTCAGTATGATGAAAATGTTCGCAACCTGCTGTATCGGAGATCATGCCAATACACGCAGAGCGGACTTGTGGATGCCTCTGTCCTCGAAGCTGATCTCGTCGAGAGGGTGAAGAGCTTCGCGAAGCGTTATCCGAACAGCAGGACAGCCCAGGCTTGCAAGGCTGTGGAGGGATGCACCCCCGACGCTATCGCAGAAGCCATCCGCTCGACATGTCAGCAGGCACGACGTGAGCTTCTCCAAGAAGCGATGACTGGATGGAGTGACGCATCCAGAGAGTGGTTTATGCAGCAGATTGAAGAAGCCAAGAAGGAGAAGGTCGAGACATACACCGCCTCAGCAGGCAACGAGGTGACTTCCTTCATCTCCATGACTCTCCTGGGCATCTTGAAGAAGCCAAGAAGGAGAAGGTCGAGACATACACCGCCTCAGCAGGCAACGAGGTGACTTACTCAGTGCAAGAGAGTAAAGCAATCATGTGGAAGGCTCCGTATAGACCCGAGATAGCGAGTGCTGAGGAGATCCCGGTGACTGTTTCCTTCCTCCGCAATGCACAAGCGGAGAAGCTCTGGCAGGGAAGAGAGGACTTCGCGATCGATGGTCGCAAGTTCACAGCTGTACATGTGAGCATCGTGCACGATCGATCTTTCAAGATTCGAGCCAAGAGAGGACCCTGGGGCAAAGGGGGCAGCTTGGCAGAGCTGACTCACCTGCTAACCTTGGGCGGCATGACAACGGCTGAGATAGCTGCCGTCTATCGCTATCAGCTGCTGCGCCAGTCCCTTGCAGCGGTCCAACTCCAGCCGCTGGCAGGCATGCTGGTCGCTGGGGCGCCAGGACAGCAAGTCCACAAAGGCTTAGGTCAGAAAGGCTTCATCGCTGTAGGGGCCAACGTCATCTGGAGACAGAGGGAGGTGGAGTGGATCGTCTCCTCGAGCTGCCCAGAGGCGAATGATACAGCATTTCGAGCTTTCCGAGAGAGCGAAGCGATGGAGGGAGTACACCTGACTCTGTTCAGCGAGGACCCGAAGATCAGAGAGGCGCTCGCAGTCGAGTTGACAGCTGATCGCTTTGTGTCCAGAAATAAGTTGAAGAAGGCATCAAGGATGCAGAAGAAGGCAGGCGGCAAGGACGGCAAGGAGATCAAGATCATCATCAAGTCGACGGCGGCATCTGGTCGCTTCACGAGGAAGGAGATGGAGGGGCTGTGCAACGGCGGCAACACGTCTATCGCAAGAGTCAAGAGAGTCTTGTTGGAGATCGCTAACAGGCTCGAGATCAACGTTGAAGGCATCGACATGGAGGAGGATTTGAACACCAAGTCCTGGAACGGGTCCAAGCTATGCATCCTCCTCGGCTCCACGGAGGATGCTCGACGCATGATGAAGGAGCTGCCCTTCTATCTCGAAGGCGCAGCCACCAAGCTCGAAGCAGTCGGCTTCGACAAGGAGCCTGACTCTGAGGCGGCTGGTCAGCGGGGCACCAGCGACGCAGCGCAGCGACAGGAGGAGAGCGAGGGAGAGTGGCTGGAGTTTACAGACCTGGAGAGGATCACAATGGAGGCAGCATCTCCGTCAAGCCAAGAGGACATGCAGCTCGTCAGCGAGCTGTCAGCAGTCATCGAAGATGCAGCTTCTTTGAACGAGGCAGGGACGAGCGAGCCGATCAAGCTGGTCCTGGACAAGGCCGTTGGCAACCTCCACGACACGTTCTACTCTCCGGGGAGCCTGGAGTTCATGTCGCTGGGAGAGTGGGCGAAGATGCCAGAGGAGCAGGGAGTTGGGCGCAACGTTCTCAAGGAGAAGCTGGGGAAGTGGCTGCAGAGCAAGCGCTGGACTCGCGTGCAAGGAGAGAGCAAGAAGGCAAGGAGGGGCAGCGCGTTCTCGCCACGGGCAACGGCAGCTGCTGAGCTTGAGCAGGAGGCGGAGAGCGACGACATAGAGCGTCGATCTCTTAGCCTCCTGTTCATAGCACTGAGTAAATTCGCAGAGATGCATGTGCTGGCCTGCTCGCTGAAGGTGGACAAGAAGGACCGACTGCGAGTGGAGATGAGGGAAGATGACGAAGAAGAGGAAGACATGGAGGAAGAGCAAGGCGAGGGCGAGGAAGAAGACGGGGCGAGCCCGTACCGAGCTTGAGCTGAGCTCAAGGTAAGGAGAGAAGGTAGGAGGCGACCGAAAGCCAAGGTGAGGAGAGGCAACTCTCCTGACTGAGGCTGAGGAAGCTGAATGGAGGAGGAGTAGGTGGCGACCGAAGGCCAAGGTGAGGAGAGGCAACTCTTCTGACTGAGGCTGAGGAAGCTGAATGGAGGTAGAGTAGGTGGTGACCGAAGGCCAAGGTGAGGAGAGGCAACTCTCCTGACTGAGGCTGAGGAAGCCAAGAGAAGACAGCAGAAGTACAGAGTAGAAAGACGCCTCAGAAGCAGGGTTCGCATTGTAGGCCGTGTACTCCCAGTGCTCGAGCGCCTCTTTAGACTAGGATCAAATTGCATAAGCCCACAACGAGGCCGAGCAACATTCTAGCATTCTAATAAACTCACATAATAATAATAATAATAGGGTTTAGGGTTTAGGGTTTAGGGTTTAGGGTTTAGGGTTTAGGGTTTAGGGTTTAGGGTTTAGAGGCGCCGTTATTTTCGGCAGCAGGCGCCGTTATTTTCGGCAGCATGGCTCCTCGTCAGGTGTAGGGGAAGCCGCCAGGGCGCCAAGGAAGCTGCAAGCAAGAGGTTTGTATACTTCAAATAGCTTTCTAAGTATGGTTTTTCAGTATGATGAAAATGTTCGCAACCTGCTGTATCGGAGATCATGCCAATACACGCAGAGCGGACTTGTGGATGCCTCTGTCCTCGAAGCTGATCTCGTCGAGAGGGTGAAGAGCTTCGCGAAGCGTTATCCGAACAGCAGGACAGCCCAGGCTTGCAAGGCTGTGGAGGGATGCACCCCCGACGCTATCGCAGAAGCCATCCGCTCGACATGTCAGCAGGCACGACGTGAGCTTCTGCAAGAAGCGATGACTGGATGGAGTGACGCATCCAGAGAGTGGTTTATGCAGCAGATTGAAGAAGCCAAGAAGGAGAAGGTCGAGACATACACCGCCTCAGCAGGCAACGAGGTGACTTCCTTCATCTCCATGACTCTCCTGGGCATCTCCTCGGTGTATGTCAACCATGAAGAAAAGTTGAAGAAGAAATTTGAAGAGATCGGACTGATCGTAGACTCAGTGCAAGAGAGTAAAGCAATCATGTGGAAGGCTCCGTATAGACCCGAGATAGCGAGTGCTGATGAGATCCCGGTGACTGTTTCCTTCCTCCGCAATGCACAAGCGGAGAAGCTCTGGCAGGGAAGAGAGGACTTCGCGATCGATGGTCGCAAGTTCACAGCTGTACATGTGAGCATCGTGCACGATAGATCTTTCAAGATTCGAGCCAAGAGAGGACCCTGGGGCAAAGGGGGCAGCTTGGCAGAGCTGACTCACCTGCTAACCTTGGGCGGCATGACAACGGCTGAGATAGCTGCCGTCTATCGCTATCAGCTGCTGCGCCAGTCCCTTGCAGCGGTCCAACTCCAGCCGCTGGCAGGCATGCTGGTCGCTGGGGCGCCAGGACAGCAAGTCCACAAAGGCTTAGGTCAGAAAGGCTTCATCGCTGTAGGGGCCAACGTCATCTGGAGACAGAGGGAGGTGGAGTGGATCGTCTCCTCGAGCTGCCCAGAGGCGAATGATACAGCATTTCGAGCTTTCCGAGAGAGCGAAGCGATGGAGGGAGTACACCTGACTCTGTTCAGCGAGGACCCGAAGATCAGAGAGGCGCTCGCAGTCGAGTTGACAGCTGATCGCTTTGTGTCCAGAAATAAGTTGAAGAAGGCATCAAGGATGCAGAAGAAGGCAGGCGGCAAGGACGGCAAGGAGATCAAGATCATCATCAAGTCGACGGCGGCATCTGGTCGCTTCACGAGGAAGGAGATGGAGGGGCTGTGCAACGGCGGCAACACGTCTATCGCAAGAGTCAAGAGAGTCTTGTTGGAGATCGCTAACAGGCTCGAGATCAACGTTGAAGGCATCGACATGGAGGAGGATTTGAACACCAAGTCCTGGAACGGGTCCAAGCTATGCATCCTCCTCGGCTCCACGGAGGATGCTCGACGCATGATGAAGGAGCTGCCCTTCTATCTCGAAGGCGCAGCAACCAAGCTCGAAGCAGTCGGCTTCGACAAGGAGCCTGACTCTGAGGCGGCTGGTCAGCGGGGCACCAGCGACGCAGCGCAGCGACAGGAGGAGAGCGAGGGAGAGTGGCTGGAGTTTACAGACCTGGAGAGGATCACAATGGAGGCAGCATCTCCGTCAAGCCAAGAGGACATGCAGCTCGTCAGCGAGCTGTCAGCAGTCATCGAAGATGCAGCTTCTTTGAACGAGGCGGGGACGAGCGAGCCGATCAAGCTGGTCCTGGACAAGGCTGTTGGCAACCTCCACGACACGTTCTACTCTCCGGGGAGCCTGGAGTTCATGTCGCTGGGAGAGTGGGCGAAGATGCCAGAGGAGCAGGGAGTTGGGCGCAACGTTCTCAAGGAGAAGCTGGGGAAGTGGCTGCAGAGCAAGCGCTGGACTCGCGTGCAAGGAGAGAGCAAGAAGGCAAGGAGGGGCAGCGCGTTCTCGCCACGGGCAACGGCAGCTGCTGAGCTTGAGCAGGAGGCGGAGAGCGACGACATAGAGCGTCGATCTCTTAGCTTCCTGTTCATAGCACTGAGTAAATTCGCAGAGATGCATGTGCTGGCCTGCTCGCTGAAGGTGGACAAGAAGGACCGACTGCGGGTGGAGATGAGGGAAGATGGCGAAGAAGAGGAAGACATGGAGGAAGAGCAAGGCGAGGGCGAGGAAGAAGACGGGGCGAGCCCGTACCGAGCTTGAGCTGAGCTCAAGGTAAGGAGAGAAGGTAGGAGGCGACCGAAGGCCAAGGTGAGGAGAGGCAACTCTCCTGACTGAAGCTGAGGAAGCTGAATGGAGGACGAGTAGGTGGCGACCGAAGGCCAAGGTGAGGAGAGGCAACTCTCCTGACTGAGGCTGAGGAAGCTGAATGGAGGTAGAGTAGGTGGCGACCGAAGGCCAAGGTGAGGAGAGGCAACTCTCCTGACTGAGGCTGAGGAAGCCAAGAGAAGACAGCAGAAGTAGAGAGTAGAAAGACGCCTCAGAAGCAGGGTTCGCATTGTAGGCCGTGTACTCCCAGTGCTCGAGCGCCTCTTTAGACTAGGATCAAATTGCAAAAGCCCACAACGAGGCCGAGCAACATTCTAGCATTCTAATAAACTCACATAATAATAATAATAATAGGGTTTAGGGTTTAGGGTTTAGGGTTTAGGGTTTAGGGTTTAGGGTTTAGGGTTTTTTTTTTTAGCCGTTATTTTCGGCAGCATGGCTCCTCGTCAGGTGTAGGGGAAGCCGCCAGGGCGCCAAGGAAGCTGCAATTCAGGCAGCGCCGGTTATTTCAGGCAGCGCCGGTTATTTCAGGCAGCGCCGGTTATTTCAGGCAGCGCGGAAGCTGCCAGGGCGCCAAGGAAGCTGCAAGCGAGAGGTTTGTATACTTCAAATAGCTTTCTAAGTATGGTTCTTCAGTATGATGAAAATGTTCGCAACCTGCTGTATCGGAGATCATGCCAATACACGCAGAGCGGACTTGTGGATGCCTCTGTCCTCGAAGCTGATCTCGTCGAGAGGGTGAAGAGCTTCGCGAAGCGTTATCCGAACAGCAGGACAGCCCAGGCTTGCAAGGCTGTGGAGGGATGCACCCCCGACGCTATCGCAGAAGCCATCCGCTCGACATGTCAGCAGGCACGACGTGAGCTTCTGCAAGAAGCGATGACTGGATGGAGTGACGCATCCAGAGAGTGGTTTATGCAGCAGATTGAAGAAGCCAAGAAGGAGAAGGTCGAGACATACACCGCCTCAGCAGGCAACGAGGTGACTTCCTTCATCTCCATGACTCTCCTGGGCATCTCCTCGGTGTATGTCAACCATGAAGAAAAGCTGAAGAAGAAATTCGAAGAGATCGGACTGATCGTAGACTCAGTGCAAGAGAGTAAAGCAATCATGTGGAAGGCTCCGTATAGACCCGAGATAGCGAGTGCTGAGGAGATCCCGGTGACTGTTTCCTTCCTCCGCAATGCACAAGCGGAGAAGCTCTGGCAGGGAAGAGAGGACTTCGCGATCGATGGTCGCAAGTTCACAGCTGTACATGTGAGCATCGTGCACGATCGATCTTTCAAGATTCGAGCCAAGAGAGGACCCTGGGGCAAAGGGGGCAGCTTGGCAGAGCTGACTCACCTGCTAACCTTGGGCGGCATGACAACGGCTGAGATAGCTGCCGTCTATCGCTATCAGCTGCTGCGCCAGTCCCTTGCAGCGGTCCAACTCCAGCCGCTGGCAGGCATGCTGGTCGCTGGGGCGCCAGGACAGCAAGTCCACAAAGGCTTAGGTCAGAAAGGCTTCATCGCTGTAGGGGCCAACGTCATCTGGAGACAGAGGGAGGTGGAGTGGATCGTCTCCTCGAGCTGCCCAGACGCGAATGATACAGCATTTCGAGCTTTCCGAGAGAGCGAAGCGATGGAGGGAGTACACCTGACTCTGTTCAGCGAGGACCCGAAGATCAGAGAGGCGCTCGCAAGTCGAGTTGACAGCTGATCGCTTTGTGTCCAAG